GCTTAATATTTTCCTTTATAAAATATACCTTAATGTAGTATTCAGACTGAAATGCACTTTTATATATTTTTACAAAGTAAAAATTGAATTAAGCACCAATCAACTGGAAGTGTATTATTGGAACTCTGCTTTAAGTGTCTGAATTTCTTTAAGATTTATTTTAATAATACTATTTAATATCTGGATAACATTTTCAGCATACTAATATACCATATATGTAAAGCTAATAGAAATGGGGATGACTGACATAATCAAGACAATTTATATTAACACTAGTAGCATAAATGCTTACTTTTGTAAAAGTTCGCATCACTTATAAATTTAGAAGAAAATTCTCAGTCCCTCTAATCTCAGAGTCTGGCCAAGTTTTCACGGGAAATACTTCCAAATCCAGAGGATAGATGACATTGTATCTTCATTCATTTTGTGTTGCTATAATGAAATTTCTGAGGCTGAATATGTTACAAAGAGAAGTTTACTCATATCACAGTTCTGGAGGTGAATGGCCAGTATCAAGTGACCCCATCTGATCTCTGATGTGGGCTTTCTGACCCTTTCAAAACATAGAGATGGTATGCATGACAAATGCATATGAAGGAGAAGTCATATAGCGAGACAGGGAGCAGGAGAGACCCAGCTTGCACACTTATGAGAACCTGCTGCTGGAACTAGTGTGTTCTTCTTAGACCAAACACAAGATCAGCATTAACCCCTTCCCAGGGCAGTGCCTCCATCTCCTTCCAGTGTGTCTTGCCTCTTAAATCCTGTTATATGGGGGAGCAGAGGACAAGCTTTTAGCACATGAACCTTTGAGGATCAAACGAAAGTGCATGGTTACTACCTTGGTCATAAATGAAGCAAATGTCATGATCTGTTCCTAGTACTATGATTTGCAACTGGTTTAAAGCTAGGTTGCACTAAAACCTGCATGATAGATTAAGTGAGAAAAGGAATACTTAAAATATGAGGTCATTAGTTTTTTGCTTTTATCCATGCATTTAGCAAAGCTAAGGCTATAATGCTGAACACATGAAAAGAAAGATTACAACCATCTCCTGAGAACCAGTACACCTAATAAAGTCACAAAATCAAATCCCAATCCCAGAGCTTAAATTTCTTATTCATAACAATTATAGAATAGAAATACCCATTTGTATCATTTATGGAAGAGCTAACTTCCATAAATGGTCTGGAGCTGATCTGTTTTTAATTTGCCTATCAAGTTACAGTCTTCCGTTAGCTTCCCTCTGTCCCCGTGATACAGTGAGAAGAGTATTGGATTGAGAACCCTATGGCCTGGCTCCAAAGCTACCTCCAATTAGCTGGGGACATCTTGGCAAGCTACTTAATTTGATGCTCAGCTCTTACATCTTCAAAAGAGGAATATTAACACTTTTTAAACTAATCTAAATTATATTGTGAAAGTGTACACTGCAGCTTAGTAACTCCATCAAGAATAAAATCACCAGAAGTCTAAACCATAACCAAAATCTAATGAGATGAATATTTCAGAGAAAAGAAAGAGGGAGTTGCCGATGCCTCTTCCTGTTCCAGGCTTTACAAATCTCCACAATAGCATTTGGTTATTTGTAGTCACTATTCTCATTTCCAAGTTTGGGCTCCAGGTTTTCAATAAGTTCACATGCAAAGGCACCTTTTTTGGGTAATGCAAAAACAAACACCTAGAATTAAAACATTTATCCTCACTTACTAAAAACCTAGAAGGATCCAAGGAAGTATTTTCTCCCTGGTGTTGAAATGGATGAGAATTTCTTTGAAGGTCACCTCTCGTTATCATCTCCTTATTGTTAAAAAAGCATCTGCCTTCTAGAGGAGTCCTTTTGGCCCCAGTACAGGATAGAATAATTCTTTGCAGCTTAGGTTTCATTTAGTGTAAGGTTATCTCCTTTGGGTCTCTCTTCCTCTCTATCAGTGCCTTTATCATTTTTCCTACTCTTTCTTTCCATGTGCTAGAAGTTATTTTTGCACCAGGTGCCCTTTTCTGTCCTGTCCAATGGAAGGTAAAGAAGCTCAGAGACAAAATTAATATTCACATCAGACCAGTGAAACATACCAATTAGCTAGAAGAGCAGAATCTTGGAGGAAAAACATAATAGAATAATAAAAATAGATGAAGTAGGAGAGGGGAATGTAAGCTTTATCCAAACTCAGCACTGGTTTTCTGTGTTATCTTGGACAGATGATTTAATACCTCCATGTCTTCTTTTGGTAAATTTGGTGATGAGAACAAGATGGTAGCCAACCCCTTTTCTATGTTTTATATTCTGAATAAAGGGTATATTCTCTGTCTCTATAAGACAGAGTTATCTGCATATTGAGAATAATTTGAGCCAAGGCTAAGAAAATTTATCCTGTGCTATTATCAAAAACAGATATCTATAACCTTGAAATAAACAAATATGGGAAAAGTTAGAGAATTCAATTTTCTAGAACTGGGAGCCCTATGATTGGTAAACAGCGAATAGGTCTTCCCTGGGCCTTTGTAAGAAAGTTCTAGAGAACTGGACTGACCAGAATTTCAAAAAAGGAGAGCATCTGTTTATCATATGTTTCAGTGGTTATTAAAAATCTTCATCATGGGCTGTATCTTACTGGTGTCACATTAGCATTGCATATAGTGAATACTAACATCATTTTCCCATACCAACTAATGCATCAAGGAAGAACATAGTCACCTAGTAAATAGGGATTTTTTCACTTGACACTGTGAATTTAGAAATCATTACAATGATATGAAACACTGAGTGGAGATATATTTATCCAAAAGAAGTTCATACATAGTCTTAAATAGACTCACATAAGAAACAATAGAAAATGATAAGTAAGCACCATAGAAAAAATGCAGATTACTGAGAGAAGACAGATATTTCAAATGAGAGTAAAAAGCAGGAATTTTATGGAGCAAGATGTATGTGAAATGGGTTTTGAAGATTGAGCCAGGATTGATCTATGGAAATGACAAGATATGGCAAAGGCAAAAGAATAGAGGTTAGAAAACACAAAATTAGCATGAGCATGTAATACTTGACTTATATAGCTGCTTACTATATAAAATCTTAAGGTACGTGATCTTAATGAATTCCCATAATTCTGAGACTTTGGTTCTTTTGCATTCCATTTTCAGGTAGAGAAACTGGAGTTTGGAAAGGAGAAATGCCTTGCAAAAACTCTATCAAAAAGAAGAGCAGGATGCTCAGGATAGGTAAAACATGTGGGGATAAAGAAGGAAAAATGTCTGAAAAGTTCATTTTAGTTTGAAAATGAACATGCTGGAATGTTAGAATCTTTCACTGAACTCAAAGCTAAAAGGTATTCACATGAACTGAATAAGAAGTACAAAGTAAGATCTTCTTTATATTTAAATAAAAATGGCATAAAGCTATGACTTATATGATATGTAAAAATGTCCCAAATCAGTGCTGGGACAATACTCAAGTACCCTGGTCAATGTCAAAATGTAATTTAGTCACATCAGAAAAGAATGTGAGTACCCTTTCTAATACAACTCTTTGCTTATGGGGAGGGAAGAATTGAGGCTCAAAGAAAAATAACCCTTTGAAAATGTTTCATTCAATTTAAGTTTTAATTGAAAAATAAATATTATCTGACTTGTGGCTATGTAATTCTTGCCAATTTCCACATACTGTTGGGAACTGACAACTAAACATGATAGTAAAAATGTAAATCCCATGGCACTCACACAGTTTATATGCTGTTCAGAAAAACAATTAAATTGTGTTCTCTTCGGTGCTTTAATCATAGCAATGTGATTCTATTACTCCACTGAGTTGGTTGCTAACCAGATTGCATTAAACATTTAGCATAAACACATCTTTCAAGTAGGCATGCGTTCATTCCACACTAAAAGTTTTGTAAATAAAAAATGCACTAGACCCTCAAAGGGTATTCTGTTTTTGCAGAAATCACCAGTGTAATTTAGATTTTTCTTGCTTGGTCAGTAGTTCAAGAATTAATGTTCTCAAAGCCACATTCATATTTCAGATGAGCATTAACAAACAGCTATTTTTGAAAAACATGAATTCCTCTTTATAGTTATTTCTTCCATTAGTAACTTCATGGTTATGTTTGGTTAATTATTCCTGTAACAGCTATGTAAAAATATGGTTGATAGCTAAAATATATGTTTCCCAAAGGACATCTGTGTTGGGTCCCTATGAGTTAGATTATTAATGTCTGCATCCATTTTAAGTGATGACATTTAGTATGTTGCTACAATACGAGCACCGATAATTTTGATAAAAATCAAGAGTGGTAATTAGCTTGAGTTCCAATGCATTTAACATAGCGTATCTTCCAGTGAGGTAATCCAACATGTTTCTTGCCCCTTCTGATACTCCCATGCTAGAATCTTGCAATAAAAGTGATATTTCTGTCTGAGCAAAAACATTAGACCCTTACTTTTAAAACAAATATCTTTTTGCCTTTTGCAGTGACAAAATTTTCAAATAAGATACACAGCCAGTGGTGTTTCTGCAAACAAGATTTCACTAGCTAGAAACAAAAAAGGCTAAAATGTCTATTTTAGCAACTTGAAGCAGCTTTTTTTTTTTTTTGCTGGACTGCTAAGAGATTTTATCCTTCTGCTTTTAGTATGTTCCATTTTGTTTATCAGCCTATACCATTTCAGTCAGCCTACCCATAAATATTAATCCTCACTTGGATCATCTAACATATAATTTTAAAAATATGCTTAATATGTAATGATATTTAAGGAAGCTCCTTCCAATAATTACCATTAAATTGAAGTTTGAATTGATGTAGTATTATTTGAAAGGATTTCAACTTGAAACGATCCAAATTATGTTTTATCACTTAACCTATAACAAGTATTGCCACAGGGAATTTTTAATGGACAGATGTGAGAATGAAAGTGAATTTCTCAAATATATTTGCCGCTAGCTTAATTCAGATTCACCATGCATTATTGAAAAGAAACGTTTACTCAATAATCCACCAAATTCTTGTTTTCCGTAATTTCATCATAATTTTATTTCATATTTACAGTCTTCGATTCTAATGCAAGGGTCTCGCTGAGGGGTGAGGGATGAGGGAAGAGAAACGGGGTTTGGAGGGGGAGTCAGAGGTCTGGTGTGGACAGTAATTGACAAAGCTAACAGGATGTGAAAGTCTTCCAGAAGAAATTCTTGCAGCCCGCTTTGCGTTCCCGAGGTGCCATGGCCGGGTTCGAGTTCGCAGACCTCTGCAGCTCCAGCCTCATCTCGTCCTGCTCGGCAGCCTGGGACAAATCTTCAGGTTCCAGAGCATCGTTCTCCGTCTGGTTGGGCTCAGACAGCAGCTCTGCCAGGAAATACTTGGCCAGTTCCTGTGTGGGGCAGGAGAGGGAAAGAAAAGAGCAAGAGAATGATGATGAGAAATGGGGAAACCTCCCTTGGAAAATAAATTTTATTAAGTTCCAAACCCAGCTTTCACAGCTGTGCAGTTTTTATTCACTTAAAATCCATTAAAATATAAGAGGAGCATAGAGGTAGTTGATATACTTTAACAGTTCAAATGTATTCTGACTCTTAGCTACAGACACACAAAGAGAGACGCTAAGAGCAGTTTTGCAAGCATGAGGATTGTGCCAATAACTTAACTTCCCTGTCAAGAGCTACCAAGTGGAATGAGTCCTCCCGTTCTGACAAAGTAAACATAAGGGAAACGGAACCTCTCACAATCGCAGGCGTGTGTGTCCTCTGTGCCAAGCCCCTCGCCCTTGTGCTGTGCCTTGGACGAGGTCCTGGCTTCAGCACCAGGGTCAGCGACTCCCGTGGGTAGCACCGGGGACAGTGTACTCACTAGCCCGGTTTCCTCATTTCCTCGGGAGGATCTCACCTGAGGGCGGCCAACTGCGCTTACCAATAAAATTAGAAGTAAAGGGATTCTAGACTTTGAAAGTTTTCCTGGGAGCTTTGGTCCCCGAGGGACTTAAAAGAAAATCGCCTGAAACTCTTTAGGCAAACCAAACACCTGTTAAAGCTAAGGCACGGTCGGGGGAGAGAAAAGAAGACGTCGAGGGAGTCTCTTTACCTGCTTTCCCGCGGCAGCAGCCAGGGACTTCTGCAGAAACTGACGGAGTCGGGGGTCCGAGGGCGCGCCAGCGACACTGCCCAGGGCCAGGACCAGGGAGAGCGCGGCCAGCGCGCACTGGAGGCGGCAGGACAGCATCTCCGCTGAGCCGGGAAGCCGAGCTGCAGAGCGGCGGGTCAAACTCCAGGCGAGGATCTGCAGGCAGCGGCGACCGCTCGCGACTCCTACCGCGGCTAGCGAGCTCTCCAGCGGCTCCCCCCTTTTAAACTCTCTCTCTGACGTCAGGCTAGCAGGCGCCCCCAGATCTCACCAGCGCTTTTACGCACCATTAGCCTCGCAAAATCAATCACAGAAGTGAGGGGAGGCGACACTATCTAAAGTGATTTACTTTTAAAAAAATCTGCACACAGGCACACATCGTTTCACATGCCACGCGACACAATCTCTTATTCTCAGCGGCACCAACATACACCTTCCGCATTTTCACTCAACATGTGCACACTCGGTTATGCACAAACAGGCTCGCACACTCAGCCTTTAGGGGGCAAATACGCGATTGCACACAGATGAGTGCACATAGGTGTGAGCAGGGACTACCTTTATTCTACTCACGCATTTCAGGGGACCCAAAGAAATGTCTACAGCAAACGCGGTTCAAAATCAGTCCTCTAAGAGCAGATTTCAGAGTAAACCATTTCCTCTTCCATTACCTCTGAGCAGAGGAGTCTGCACAGAGGCCTGCCAAAAGATGTGATGGGCTCTAGAACAACTTCACATTGCTCTGTAATGAAGGGAAAGGTATCTCTGTCCCCATCTCCATCCTCTTCCTTTCTCTGCCTCTCTTCTTTCCTGAAATATGAGACATTTCTAATCTATTGGCCTTTCTATTGTGACCGAAAAAATTACAAACAAGGGAACAAGGAGTGAGGCAGAAGCAGAGAGACAGACAGACAGACAGACAGACAGGCAGACTGACTTTGTTTTCCTCTTTAAAAACTTGGAGCTGGAAGGCAGTCTCGGAAATTGTCTAGGAATTCTCAGACTTTCAATGACTAAGACTTAAAGATAGGTAGCACAGTGCTCTGGCTCACATACCACACTATTGGGGCAAAGACCAGAGCTCCGTGTCGCAAGGCCAGTCCTTTCCACACAACTCTGAGCTTCCTAAGAGAACCCTGGCCAGAAACAGCAGTTCTAGCTTAGGTGAGGATCCATGGATGGAGGCATCAAAGTCCAGGAGGGAGCCTCTTCCACCTGTGTAACCATTATTGAGTACCATGTGTGGGTAAAGGATCAACAGTTAGGAAATCCCACCCTCTCCTCCCCTAGCCACAGAGGAAATTAAGAAAGAGTACCTAGGATTCTAACTCCTGTTGGGTTGACAGTTTGCTGTCCAGGCCAGAGTTCTGGCAGCTTTGTTTGTTCCAAACAGTTTCTTATCAAGGAAAGATCAGTTAATTTCTTGGCATAGGCCAACGGCCCCCTCCAGGCTCTTCAAGGGCTAATATTTTATAAGCATCAAAGAAGCCAATATTAGATTAAAATAATGCTACATCTCCAGAAAGAAAGTAAGGCAGAAAACTTTCCAATTCTAAGTTACATCATAACTTAGAGAGTATTCCCAATATTTAGACCCAAACCAGATGGCTAAACTGTAGGAAACTTGAGGGTTACCCTGAATGGCTTGGATTCTTGTCATTATTTCCCTTTATGTATGTGAGCCCAAGCAAGGAACAAATGCACAGGAAGCTTCCAGGGCTTAGAATTCCAGGCAAAGTCAAGTGTCTAGTATGGCATTAGAAAGTCACTCTCAGAATAGTCTGAGAGAAGAACAAATCTACAGTCTTGGACTCCAACCCTGCAAATACAAGTTAAGCTCTACAGATCTTAGAATCCTCTCTGGGCCCTGACTGGGGACCGAGGGTCTAATTATACCAGCCTAACCATCTTGAGGCTCTCCAAATGCTTCCCCATCTCCTTCCCCGTCTATTCAAACAGGTCCTTGGCAGCTTCATGAAGTGAAATGGAGCGATTTCCTCAAACAGGAGCCAAACAAAGAACAAACCGCAGGGCGGCCATCTTGTTCTGCGATACAGGATCTCTCTCTCCATTCATCCTTTCCCAGGCCCTGCCTCTCTCCTTTGATATTCCTGTTTCTCCTCTGTACCTTCCCCACTTTCCCATTTTTTCCCTCTAACATTCTTCTAACTTTCTGTCTCAGAATCTTCTTCATTTGATGCTTCTTTTGTCTTCTCCTCTCCTTGTGGCTCTTTGTCCCCCCACTCCAGGGCTCCACTCTGACCTCAGTCTGGTGTCATCTGGTGGCTCTTTCCTGCCCACTCTGCCAACTTCCGCCCTTCTGCCCTTGCTTAGGCCTCGTCAGTCTGAGTCTCTGCTTCTAGGCCTGGATCCCCTCTCCTGTCCTCCTTCCCTTTCTTCCTCTCTCCTCAGCTACTTCTCACGGAGAATGCCCCGATCTCCAGGTGTTTAAGTACCCACTTGCATGGGTGAGTCTGTGTTCTCCGGTCCCTTCTGAGGTGTTGTGACTGTAGAGGATTGACTTCTGGGGTTTGTTTTTCCTTGGGTTGTTATGATTCTAAGGTCCACTTAAAAGAGAAGAGCAGGACAAAAGAAAATAATAATTGTTCCTTAAACTCTCCTGGATTTTAAGGTTTTTCCACTCATTTTAGCATATTGCTTGGTTTAAGATTAAAGTACTTCAAGCATCTCCAATCTGAGCCCTCTGCAATTACCGCCAAGTGCCTCTCACCCAAAGAGAAGCTTACACTGGGTTATACTGGGGACTCTGTTTCCCAGACCATGATTACCAGGAATCACTTCCTTCTGTGCCATGCAGCCTTTCACAAGTCACAAACTACTGTGTCACCCAGTACTTTGGGGTATAACATTCTCACCTCACAGGAGGAGGCTGAGGTCCTGGAAGCATAAGTGCCTAGTACAAGGACACCTTGGTGGCATCTTGCAGATGGGAAGGGGACCAGAAAACAGAGGGAGAGGGAAGGGAAGGAAAGGGAAGTAAAAAAGTACTAAGATGTGACATGTACCAGTATCCATGTCTAATGACAAATATACTCATTGCGTATCACAAACGTGTACCAATGAAATAAATAAATTCTTCTTATTGGGGAAATAAACAAGGGCACCCTGGCAGGAGGTGGTGTAACCAATGGAGAGTGTCACTGTGCCTTCGAATGCTTCCTTCACCTCTGACTCAGAGACACCAGAGACGCCTGCCTGAGCAATCGGAGGTGATTATCTGCCAGTATGATGAGTAGAAATTTATTCTAATAAGAAATAATAAAAATCTGTGGGCAGACATGTATGTCCAATATTAAGGAATCGGAAAAGGAGAAAGTACCCACAGGCAGAGGCATCTGAATCTGAGCTTGTTTCTGATGCACCAGCTGTGGGACATCCTCCCCCACCTCGGTTTCCTCATTTGCAAACATAAAAACTCAGCGGGTCATCTTTTCACTTCATTCCAGCCATGATAATCGACAAGTTTAAAATAAAAGGGCAAATTAGAGTGTACTCTGAAGTTAAATGCCCTCGTTTTTCTCTAATCAAGGTCTTTATACTGGGAAAGAGCCTAGTTTTTGTGAGTCCAGGAGAGAAGACCAGGTACAAAGAACATTTCACAGGCTTGTTGCAAAACCCGCTCTGGGACTGACCTCTCCTCTCATGAAGACCATTAGTTTCTCCATTTGTAAAACTGTTTTGCTCAAATTTGTCTACCAATAAATATGGAAGGGCTAATATTTGAGAAGCATCAGAGATGCTTTTTTATTATTCAAGATGTCAATGATACATCAATAGGCTAGATAGATGGAGTCCTAAGAAGAAAAACAATATTTAACTTTATTATTTCTCAAATAATATTATATGTTAAAATTTACATGAGCAGACCAAACAGTGTGACAGTATTTTGGCTATTTTTAAGATGATGCCTTCAGATCAATGGAGACTTCACTGTAGGAGAGCAAGAGGAAAAGCAAGGAGATAAGTTTGGAGTCTTACAACCATTGAGGAGAGGAACCAGGGCAAAAGAAACCCATTCTTCCGTAAATACCCATGCCCAGGCAGGTTGGCTGCATGAAGGCATCTCAACTCTGTTACCAGTCTCCAGGGCTGTCTTATCTTCTGGGTTCCCAAGGGTGGGGGGGTCCAGGTGGTTTGTGGTTCTTTCTGAAGATCATATACTCTAGATGGTATATGCAGTTGGACCGGGGGCAGGTTATGCAAGAATACAGATTTTCCTTGCCCAAGGAATCCCATGGGGACCCTTCCTGCTGAGAGTCCTTACCAACACAGACTACAGGAAAGAGATCCTGCGACCCTCTAAAAGCTTTCATTCTGTAGGTAAAAGCCCAGAGACCACCTCGGCAGGCACCGATCGCAGAAGAGCCAGACTTCCCTGCCAAAGTGGATTTTGCCAATTTCCACAAAGCCAAGACCGTGCTAAAAATAGGAAGTGAGTTCCCAGCAAGTTTCACCTCTTCCATGATGAGAGACGGATAGCCTCGTGTAGTTTCCTGCGTGGTCTTCACCCTGACCTTTCTGCTCCAAACCTTTGGGTTGCCAGCACCTCCACTACAGGTGCAAGCACATGCTGTGCTGGCCATGTTTCTGCAGACCTTTGCTTTCTTGATTGGCCTCACCTTATGTGGCTGGTCATCTGCCATCCATCCTGGTCCCCCAGACTGCTTTCCTGCCTCCCATACACTCTCTGCCTCTCATCCACACTGATGTCTCTTCCTGGAATACCTCTGAAAGTGAAGATCCCTCAACTTATGCTAAGATGTTTCTAAGGTAGAATCACCATGGTCCTTTCCTGTCCCCATGGTGGATCACATGCATCCTGGGGGAGACCCTCCCAAGTGGCTTTGTAGTTCCACACTTGCAGAGTCTTTATGTCTCATCCTGAAGCACAGAGGCTCATCGAGGACAGAAACTGTCTCAACGCTGTGTGCATGCTCCTCTGAGAGTCTAAAAATGTCACGCACACTGTAGTTTGTTGAAAACTGATGGCTGGGTTGATGACAAACTTCTTTCTTCTTATGTGAGTACATGAGGTCTCTAAGGATTCTGCATGTAAGGCAAGCTACATGAAGCTGCTACTGAGGATCACCTCGCTACATGTACCAGCCCCACACACGACCCTAGGTAGCGGGATCCCTCTGAAACTCAGACCTATTTTTTTCTCAGTCATCTCCAAGCTTGAGAAAACACA